GCCCTTTCAGGGATGGTTCTAGAGCACACGGCTGTGTGTTCCTAGTCCCCGAATCTTGTTACATCCGCTCCTGATGGGGCTTGCTAGCATGTTTTGGTTGGCGATTTTTCATCTGACATACTGTCCCTCTCCATACTTTATCCACAGATGGGTACAAAACCCTGGCTTCTCATATCTGAATTATAAATATAGGCTTTTCAGTGATGTTTGGAGGCTCAAGGATTGATGGGTACATAGAGGACTGATCTATGAGAAGTCAAATATATAGCATTGGAATGAGAGATTAAACATCTTCCAACTGATAAAAACAACAGAACGAGAATAGTATACACTAGAAGTTGACAAAAGCGAAATGGGTAAACGCAGGGGCTTGGGAGTTTTGAATCGAAGTTCTGTCTCTTTCCAAATGAGTAGGTTATTTAACCTTCCTGTGCTTTGATTTCCTTGTATCTTATAAAAGGAGAGATTATGGTTTTTGTGACAACTAAAATATCTAATTCACAACTGTGACCGGCACATAGTAAGTACTCAGTAAATGTGAGTTTATTATTACGCATCGCATCAACCTCCTTGTTTTTAATATAGAGCCAAAGAGGCCCAAAAAGCTTAAGTGATTTCAACTTTCATTAACAAATTAGGATGAAGCTTTTGCTCTGGAGCAGACATTAACTAGTTGATGGCTAGAGACCTGCTGATTTCTATTCTAGTATGATGTTCACCGCACTCACTGCCACTTTGGGTTTTCAACAGGTTTTTGATATTCCGAACAGTTCCATAGGTGGCCTGGGTAGCAGTAATCCCCAAACTATCTTCTTTCTTCATTTGTCTTCTTGGTCTGGAAGGCCCTGGAGTGTGGACTGAAGGCAAGGAGCCCTGAGCTGAGCCACAGTTGCTGCAGAACTGGCTGGCGGGGGGCCTGGCATGCAAGTCAGGGGCGCTCTTGCCGTCCGGGGCTTGGGATGGCTCTCCCCAGGCACCCGTGTCCAGCCCCACCCGGAGACTGGAGACCGTTTACCCGGCTGAAGTGAGTGCTGTTGGCATCTCCATGACCGAGGACGGTAAGGAACCCGGTTAGCCTGGGCTGTGGGGCAGGGGCGTCGGTCTGCTGCTGACCCTCCTGCCCCATTATACAGCTCTCTACTGCAAAGCCTTTGTGCCCAGAGAACTCTCTGGCTCTGAGCTTTGGTACTTTTGTTTGGAGCAGCCTCGCCCCAGTCTTCAAGTTTCAGGTAAGGCATCTGGTGTATAACTAAGGGAGAAGCAGAAGTAGTAAAAATCTTTTCTTACTTGTGTGAAGCCAGGTATGTGCAAATAAACAATGAAGAAGTACAAATGACTTACGAGAGGACTCATACAAACTCCCAGGGGACTAGTCCCCATCTTTACAAACCAAGACTTGCCTAACATTTCACTACTTTGTTTTCCTCTTCATTCAGAATGCAAATTTATGCTCATCGGTGGCAATGTAAGGGGTACATTCCCCTAAAAATGATTGCAAATGTTTGTCTCATTGCAAAGTATTTCAATGTCATCAAATGATTCTTCCTTCAACGAGAGCTCCTGCATGTGAAGCCTGTGTGTGCAGAAAACCCAGAAATGTTGAAAATAGACCTTCTTAGACAGGCTAGCCCAGGGGAATTCACTGCCCCAGTTACAGTGTTTTTGGATTGCACAGGATAAACGGTTCCAAACTGAGGAATGTGCAAGATGGGAGAAGCTGTGATCTTTTGTCTTTACACAGGGAATGAGGAATTAGTCATACTGACTTTCCAATGCATTGAGTTATGGAAGTGGACAAAATTCCATTTTTTTAAATGTTATTTTATCAGAGTAATACATGCACATGGTTTCAGGAGTTGAATGGGACCCATGAGCTCACTGTTGAGGATATAGTTCTCTCATACACATCCATTTCGCTCTCCAGCAGCATGGAATTTCTGCTCTTTCAAGCTTTTTGTTCTTGAACGAGGCCCATGTTTCTAAAGAATATGCTTATGCTGCTACTGTTCATCAATTTTAGACATTACAGTAGATGAAGATTTAGCTCAACTACCTTCCGCTTCATCCTGCAATACGTTTCTACCAAAAAACAATTTATGTTCTGTTTTCATTATTCTGAATGCAAATGTCCTTCATTGGGGAGCTTAGAGGTGTGATTCTCTTTTCTGTAAATGTTTATTGTTGCTGTTTCCTGGGCTCTGTTTCCCACAGCAGCTGGGACGTTTTCCACCAGGCACACGCTTCCCTTACTTAGTTAGGCCGATGACCAGCATTCACCAGCCTTGTGGTCAATAGATGTTTCCATGAACAGCACCTCCCCAGGCAGCGAGTTTATCTAGATCGGTTCCCTCTGGCTTCTGCCGGACCTCACTGAGCAGCAAAATGTGAGGCCCTGCCCTGGCCTAAGATTCCTAAGTAGGATTTAGAGATGGAGGAGAGAGAACAACATAAATAAAGGCGAGAGGCAATCGTGAGTATGGCATCGTCTAGAAAGGCTTTTCTGAGACCTTTAGATGCCACCTGCTATAAAATCTTACTATAATGTGGATGTGGATACCAAGTCAAGGAATGGGGTTAGAATCACTGAGGGTTTTCTGTTCTCTTCATAAATATGACATGGACGTCTGGACAGCCTAAACATCGATTTCATTCCGAAATGGATTATTTGGTTTACGAAACCTGGAATCTCTCACCCCGTGTTTTACCATCAGGCCCCTTATGAAGGTGTCTTCCTCTTCCTCCTTCCCGCATCACTGCTGAGAAAAGATAAGCAGGTGCCTGCGGTTGCGATCCAGCCTCTGTGCGGACCCCTGGAGGCCCGAGCGCAAAGGGACCCAAGCCTGCGCAACCACACGCAGCCATCACGCACCTGCACACATCCTCAGAAGGACCGAGCACGCAGCGACGTGTGCACGCGCATTGATCCTCTCTGGGTTTTCACTTAATTCTCTCTGATTCTTTTAAAGCCTTTTCCCAAGGAGAGAGAGAAACCAAGAAATAGATTCTTTACTATAGAGAACAGACGGATGGTTCCCAGGGAGAGGTGGGTGGAGGGATGGGGGAAATGAGTGACAGGAATTAAAGAGTAATCATGATGGGAAAAAAAAAAAAAGAAAAAGAAATAGGAAAGGCAATAATGAATGGAGGAACTGGAAGGGAAGGGATGACAGGAAGCTCAAAAACCATCCCTGTTGCATTTTTGCTTTCAAACCCAGGATGTAGAAAAACATATTTATAATAACCAGTGTAAGTTACTGGAGATCATAAGCCAAGGACGTGAAAAGAAAAATGCTGGTAAGTCATTTTAATAAAAACAGAATTTCTGTTTCAGTTCCCCTGTTAATGTCCCTGCTAGGGATAGGAATCACTGAAGAGATTTGTAGAGCAGTCAGTCTTCTCATGGCCAGTGGAGACTCCTGAACTTTCTCCCAGGCTCGTCACTGGTATTTAGTCTAGTACAACATGAATTGAGATTTTTCTTTCTGAAACTTTCATTTTAAAAGGCATGAATTCCAAGCAGGAAAAGCAAAGTCTAGACGTGCATTCAAATCATGTGTAAAAGAATAAGAAATGTTTAACTAGTCATCGTCATTAATATATGTAGAGATAGAATTTGTGGTCTACGGAGGATCCAAAGATCAAAAAATTGTCAGTGAATGTTTAGCTTTGTTCTTAGGAGAAGCTGACATTATAAACATGGGATCCACTTAGCAGGTGTATCCCCAACCTGCAGATGGCTGAAAATATCAACCTGAAGCATAGGCCTTCCTCGGACTCCCCATTTGCCAAGAACACGGCTGATTAGAATCAGGTTTTCCATGTAGAGTTTCCTATAGGGAGCAAATATTTGATCAACTGGCATAAACATCCCAGTCAGCCCGGCCGTTTTGGTTCTCCTTGTAAATGAACTGGTCTTTGGTTTGTACGACCACTTACCTGAGAGGTGGGTTTGCATGAGGCTGACCACCAGAGAGCTGCTGTGTTCTGGTGCTCTATCAAAATCAAATTAATGAACCTGCACATTTGAGGGGGTCCCTGCACACCTTTCTGCCTACAGGCCTACTCCCGCCATTTTCAGAGCCCAGGGTAAAAGTACAAAACTCAAGCCTGTGTCTTATTCCCCTCTTCTGCCCCCTGACAGCTCTAGTCTTCACATCAGGAACGATGTGAGCATCCATGAGGACCCCTCAGCCCTCAAGTCCAAGTTCTGCCCCAGTTCCTGCCTGCCCAATAGCTACTCCTTGGCCATCTCACAGGCCTAGGGGTGTGCATAGGGCAATGGCTACCTTTGTGAGGACAGACCCAAGACAGAAGTCCGGGCAGGATCTGGTACTTGCTATAGGCCATTTCATGAGGGTGATCTAGGGGTGAGGGGCTGACTTCAGGGTGGACATGTCTCCTCACTATGTTGAGAGAGTTTTGCCAGAGGAAGGGCCTAGCGTGGGGGACCTACCTGCCCAGTTCTAAGGGAGATAGTGCCCATGTGACTGTCCTTTTCCCACTCTGAGGACATTCAGGAGTGACCATATTACCTCATCAGATGATCCCTCTATCTCAGCTGGCTAAAACTACAATACTTCTTACTAGAATGTAATCTGCCAAATTGTGGCCTAAGGGGGATCTGACTCAGGCCTGTGGACCATAAGCAAAGCCATATCTTGTTTGAAATCACTCTCTAGAGAACTAGAAGAAACTTTGGGATTTTCTATTAATATTTATAGCGGTTCCTCAGGCAATTGGACTGAATTCTGAGCTATGTAGAAATGCAGTCTGGGGTCACAGCCTCATCTGTCTTAATTACAGGGTCAAGGACAGAGAAGACTTCATTTAACTGCTAATGGAAGTCCTTAATCTGACTGAACGTGAACAATTTGGCCCAGAGAAATTAGCACCTGGTGTCAGCCAATGACATTCAGATAGTTTTAAAATAATCTAATCTTCCAGAGCTCTGTGCTTGGCTGATGGATAAGAGAATTGGAAAGGAATGACGTGGAACTTACTTGCTTATAAATATGCTTTGGAGCAGAACCATTGCAAGAGTGATCTCATTTTGTTCCAAGAGATTTCACTGCTGTTTCACAAACACTCCATCCGGTCTTGCTAATAGAACAAAGCCGCAGAGCTGCATTAAGAGAGGGGCAGAAATGGATTTTAATCTACTCAGCCAGCTGGTCTGTCATCTACATTATATGGGGGGAGGAGGGAGAGAAAAACATAAGACATAATGTGACACACAGAGCACTGTGATGTGATGACCTGATAGAGGAGGCCTTAAAGGTAAATGGATGGGGAATCTATCTTTACAAAGTTCTGGGTGGGATGAAATCGAAATGGCTGAAGCACTGTGGGCAAGAGGAAGACCGGCCTCCATGGCTGTTCATTTAATTTTATTTCTGGTCAATCATTCATTGAGCAAATATCGAAGGACCGGCCAAGTGCAAGGCACTGTTTAACAAGTGACCATTTCTAAAGATCTTTTTCCTTCACCTTCTCTTTTATCATTTCTTAACTCCATCTTCAGCCGCATCCCCGGGGAGGTAATGTCACATAATAATGAGCCACACGAGGCCTTGTAACCAGGCTCTTTCGCATCTCGGAGCCTCGGAGTCCCCATCTGCAAAGCAGGGATGATCATAGTGCTTGGCTTACACCAGCGGCTCAGCACACACTGAACTCCCAGTAAGTGTTCAGTATGAATGATGTTATGAAAAAGATAATAATAATTTGCTTCACAGGCTGCTGCAGCTAACGGAGAGCCACCTGGAAGACAAAGAGGCATTAGGCAGAAACGAAACAAGAATAATGTTTGTAACTTGCGGTGTTTTGTGTTTCTTGAGCATGAAGAAACCATTAGCATTAACTGAGTATGTACCATGCTAGGATATAAGCGAACCTTCTGATCTGTGATATTTGTTGGGGAGAAAAAAAACAGTTTTCATTTACCCTCTTACGTTCAGTGGCTGAAGCCCTGAAAAATAAACTGATAAGAGACAGATTGGCAGGAGGAAAGGGTTATTTCATATGAATATGCAGTGGGGGGGGGGGGAGTTGTCTCACAGAAATGAAGTGATAATTCCAAAGAGGGAGTCAGACCGTAAGGCTTCTAGACCGTTTTAACGAAGCATGATAAATGTGGAGATATGACATGACCAAAGAAAAAAGAATTTGAGTTTGTGGGAAGTTAAAATATATACCGGAAACGAATGGAAGATAAGGGTTGTTCATTTTAGTAAGGTTTGTAATGCAGATTCCTTTAGGGTGCCATCACTGGGCTGATAAGAGTCTAGCGTTGTCTCGGGTGATTAAGTCATTCTGCCCCTCCTGGCACTAGAGCGGGGCTCAGGGGGGACACCTGCACAAAAGGAAATTTACCCTCTGCTTTGAAGCAGGCAAAGGGAAGGGAGCAAGCTTTGTTTTGTGTCATTTCTCAATTGCCTTTAGTTCAAAATAATCTTTATGCCAAAGTGGCATATTTTGAACAGCATATTATTGTCTGCATCATATTATTTAATACGCCCTCACACAATACCCCATAAACTGGGTACTCTTGTAATGTCCATTTTATATTGGGGTAAACTGAGGTTTAGAGAGGTAAAGTATTTGCCATGTTTACACAGGTGGTAAGTGGTGGAGCTGGGAATCAAATCCAGGTTTCACAAGTCTAGAACCAGCAGCCTCCAATCTCCCTGAAACTCTGTGGCCCCGAGGTGGCAGAGATTCTGAAACCGCCAGGATTACAAATAAATTCCAATTCTAACCATTAGAGGAGGGAGAAAACTGTTTGCTCAGGAGCTGGGCCCTGGACTCTCCTTGGTTATTGTTTAGAGGAATTCATCATATAGTGCTGGATGACAGACTTCTCTTACAGTAAGAAGGGAAGCTTGTGCTGAAATTCTGAAGTAAGCCTCCAAGTCACTTTTCACTGTGGTTCCGTAGTGACCAGTCATTCTGCCCTCCTTGGTTTGCCCCGGCTGGAGGTGTGTCTTTGCACTTGGCAGAGTTCTTACGCATTTAAGTGACTCCCTGTTTGTTAAGTAAGAAAATTTGGTAGATTGGTGTTCCTCTCTGTAGATGAGAGAGAAACTACTACGCATCTGGAGAAAAACAATTAGGGCCATCAAAAATCTTTAGGGTGGACTAATCGGGTTTTATTAGGTAATCAATATGTGCAAAATGAGCAAATAGAAACTAGTTGCAGAATCCGGCCATACATAGGTATTTGTTTGTTTGTTTTTTTAACTCAGCAAGTCTAAATTCACAAAGTCTAACTTCAACTCATCAAACTCCATTCTCAAGCAATTGGTTCTTTTGTTTTGACTGCAAATTTATCACAAGTGTTGATGACTTGGTTTGCTTTCCTACTCCAAGACCTCCAGAATTCAGTGACAGGTCCTTTGGTTTCCTGCTGAATGGCTCTAAATGTGTTTCCTCTTGGGGGATGGGATTCTGAAAGCATTCTGAGTTGGTGAACCATTTGCAGATTGATTCCTGGTCAAACAGGTTCAGTCCCCACTTACCCATACAGCCACAGAGGATAACATAGCTCGAGGCTGGAGCAAGTATGAGGTAAATTCAGATATTGAGGCACAGAAACATACAGGCAATTGATTTTTACCTCCATACAAGAACTTGTCTCCTCAGGATAAAGTATAAGCTCCTTTACACAGGAGGAAGTCTGGTGTCGTGGTTAAGAATGCAGTCCTGGAGACCGTCTGCCTGCCACTGGACTACGACAGCCATCTTGCTACCAGGAAGAGAAGGCCTGTCTGAGCGTGAGGTCAACATGGCCAAAAGCAGAGCTTAGAGAGAGTGAGAAACCAGGTCCTGAAGATGCTGCAGGAAATCAAAATACCCCACCCCAAAATATGCCACTTTGGCAAAAGGATTATTTTGAGTTGGAGGAAAATGAGAATCAATGGATGCAGAAAGAAGCCTTCGTGGAGGGTCCATCATCTGACTAAAAGTAGAAACTTCTGAGAAATGAGGACTGTCCTCTCCTGTGGAAGTCTTATGGCAACGAAGAAGATAAAAAGTTGGCACCAAGATGGACCTACACAAACCAACCTTCCTCTGTTAGTTTTCCCTATAGATTTATTTACCTTCCCACAATTTGCTGCCCTTGGAAGCCTAAAATCTTTTCCTTTTTCTAATCACTTCTGTACAAATTTATTCTTCTTTGTTAAGATGCTATATAAGCCCCAAGTTCTAACCACCACTTTGAGTTACTTGTCACTGAGTTTCTCCTATGTACATGCATGCTGCATGTGTTGGTTTTTTTTCTTGTCAGTCTGCTTTTTGTCAGTCTAATTTGTAGGGCCCCAGCCAGAGAGCATAGGAGGTAGGAGGGTACAGAGAAGAGGTTTCTTTTCCTTCCCTACAGTGCTACTAGGAGCCCTGATCAAACTGAGCTTGAAGCCACAACCATTGCTAGATTTTTCAGGGATGTAAGCCAAAACGTTTCTGTTTTGCCTAAACTGTCTTAGGTGGGTTTTTTCCATCATTCATATTCTGTTCTCCATCTATCAAAATGTTCCCCAATATCCAAGCCCGTTCAAATGCACCTCTCCATGAAGCCTTCCTTATTCTCTGAAGTTTTCCTTATTCCACCCAGGCAGAATAGCATCTGCTTGTCTCTCTCTCCCCTTCTGTTCCCATGTAATACTCAGTTGGCATTTCTCTAAATGCCCTTACCGATTATGCATTGGGCCATTAAATGCCTGGGGACTCTGGAGCTGGATTGCTTAGGTTGTAATCCTGGTTCAAACACCCAGTAGCCGTGTCATATCTTCCCTAATAGAATATAAGGGGCTCATGACAGAGATCTTGGCTTGAGCCCTTTTCCTGTTGTGCTACCCATCTTGCTGTCCCACCCCTGTGAACAGGGCCTATTTGTAGACCTACCTTAGAATCCATGTGTTACCCCTCTGCCTTCTTTCTCATCAGAAGACCGATATTCCCTTGGCCTACCTACTATGCTCAGACTTCAGGTCTTTGCCCGCCCTGCAAATATGTTGGAATCTCGGACTTCCTAAATCTTCTCTATTCTAATGATGCCTGATCAGGATTATGACATAAACAAACAATCTCAGTGACTGACCCCTTCTCTTTTCTGGATTCTGGAAATGTCTGGTGCTTGAAGAGATAAAGTTTGATCCAATGGTCTATCTTGACTGTAAATAATTCATTCTACTGAATTAGAAAGTAAAATCTATTCCCTGGTTACTATAAAATGTAGTTCAAAATCTGTACTGTCTTGCTTTTGCTTTTCTGAGAGGCAGTCTGAAGGGTTAACTGTTGACAAAAGCCCTTCATTCAAATGAATAGACTCTGAAGAGTTTGTAAAAGAATATTAAATCCAGATGTTCTACTAAGGATGTTGTTCTTGAGCTAATGGGAAAATAAAAACAACATAATTTAACAGAGCCAAAATGTACATGAACAGAGAACAGAAAGGATTAAAGGCTTTTAGACAATAGCCTGGGTTATGGTCCCATTTCTTCCACTTAATAAATATATGACCGTGGGCAAATCACATAATTTCTCAGTGTTCCCTTCTGCATAATGGGATTAATAATAAGCTACTCTATCACTATTACACTGAGCTGGGATGATGATCAAACTGGCTGATGTACAGTTGCTTTGCTACATACATAAGGTGGTATTATTACTCTTTCCAAGTGATCCAGGGGGTGAAATCTAATTTCTTAGTGGGACTTTTACACAATATTTGGTAATGATTGGAATACAACATCCTTGAGAAACTCAAGTTTAATTCTTTGTAAAATGGCCATGTTTATTTTGTGGGCAAAGAAAGTAATGTCTGAACTTACGGAGACTATTCCTGCTACTTTCATGTTTAGATTGACAACTATAATTAGATTAGTAAACAATAATGTAATATAACTACATAATTATAATTCTTATAACAGATGAATGAAATAGAGCAGAAAAGCAAGTGGGGGTATTGAATCCAGGTTTGGATATTGGGTCAAAGATTCTTTAGGTTTGTTGCTTATATGTTGGACTTGAGCTTACCCCATCCTACTCGGCTTTGGGTTTCTTTGCTTTAACATCATATATAACTTATTTTCAAACTCCTTACCATGGTGTGAACTTAGATTCTTAGGTGCCATGGAATTTGTCTCCCTAAAAAGTACTTCGTAGCAAGACAGCTGAGGTCTTCCCATCGATAGTCACTATGTTGACATTTGCACTGATGTTGCAAAAGCAATCTGGGTAACAGTGACATTAGCAGTAATCAAGGGAGTGACACCAAACCTTACTACTAATCATTGATTGTATTCTTCTCCACCATTAACTTCCAATCTAGACTCTCTGAATAACTCCACATAGACAAGGCCTCACACAGAATGGTCACGTGGTATTTCTGGGATCCTGGACCACTGAGGCACTGAGCGCAGGCCTGTCAGGGAAGCCAGAACATCTGGACTCTGGTTTGGGCAATGCAGAACTCAGGAGGAACTGGGACAAACTAGAGATTAAAGGACCTTCTCCCGGTTCTGGGCTCTAACCCAGATTCTGGGCAGATTCAGCCTCTAATAATGTCTAAAATGAAACTCTGCACCAGACAGGTGGGATGGGAAAAAATGAAGTTGATTTAAAGGAAATGAGAAAATGCCAAGGGAATAATTCTGGCATACTCGAGTTTGTGGGTGGAGATGAGGATCTGCTACTACAATAATGTGTGCTGCATTTATATTCTCCCCACTTAGGGGACAGCTTATTTTATGGAAGATGTGTCATTGAAGTCTATGTCTGTGTGGCATTTCTTTTGTCCTAAAGCCAAGCTGAAGTTTATTATGCTCTGCTGAGCCACTAATGTCTTGCAGGGTATTTTTAAGGCAATTGATGACACCACAGAAAGAGCAGGATCAGAATTTGGAAGACCTTTGGCACAGTCTTTGGAGAATGGACAAATATGAGAAGAAAGGAATCTAATAGGGAAAAAATCAATTCACTAAAAGAAGAAGAGTAAATGGGGGAGAGAAGATTGAGTTTGAACATGACATTAGCTACTTAGTCACTGGATCAGAGGACAAACAACAAACCAATAATTCCAGTCAACCCCTTGTATTCTTTTTTCTCTAAATAACACTCCTCCTCTCATTTTAAATCTACCCAGATCAGAATTTTCCTTTTGCTCCCAGAGTCCGCCCCATCCTAGTGAGCCCACTTCATTTATTTCTTCATTTGGAAAATATTTTTTGAATCCTTCCTAGTGCCAGCCATCATATATATAAAGAAAACACCACACAATCCTTACCGCAACAACAAAAACAATCCCAGTGAAATCTATTTCCTTCTTGTTCTAGGCGCACAGCTAGATGAAAATAGGCTAAGAGAAGATTAAATAAGTTGCCTAAGGTTATACAGCTAGTAAAATTGCAGAGGGGGATTTAAACTTAGGGTAGGGCAAGGTTCAAATGTAGATGACAGGCTCAAAAACAGACCGTTAGCTGACCATTCCCTGTATCTGAATTTTCAGAAAGGACTTCACTAGAAGGGAAATCCCTAAGGCCTGGCAACCTTCCCCGAGGTTAAGTAGGGCCAGGTGACAGTCTAGGCCAGTAGAATGTGGGTGGGAGTGATATATATCACTTCCTGGCCTGACCCCTAAAAATCTCTCACAATCCCCTAATGGGCTGTATTTTTCCTCATCTATCAGCCAAATGCTAATGAACCAGTAGAAGATTCAGAGGACGTAGCAGCTGAGGAAATCACAGGATGGAAGAACCTGGGACCCTGAATGACTGTGTGAAGTAAATCAACCCCAACTAACTCCCATTGGACCAGACATGAGGGCAACAAACCTACCCTTATTATTTTAAGCCACTGTGAGAGTTGAGGTTTATTTGTTTCAGGAGTTAGACTACCATGACTAATACATGTGTCCTTAAATAAAGTCCATAGTCCAGTAGAGAAGAGGGGAATATAAAAATATCACACCCCATAATAAATACTTCCCTTGGATACCTCATGGGATTTGTGAACTCTTTTTGGTATCAGATTCATAGAATTACAGCCCTAAAAGAAAGCATGACGGATCCTCCTAAATGTGATACTGGAAATAGGAATAAAACACACAAACGTTCTAGGGGCCAGGCTTCATATGCACGAGTGTGAGAATTATGAGAAGCCACCAAATGTGAGATAATAGGGCAACACAGGAAGTGGGTCCAAACTAGAAAATGACATGCCAAAAAGCAATCATATTGACTCCTAAAGACCTTATTGGCTAAATAATAAACGTCTACTGGTCAATTTGCCTATGGAAGCCACAGTTACCATGTGAGAGATTTCACTTAGATGTTTGTAGATGGCCCATTCTAGCTCTGATTGTCAAGAAGTTCTTGGGTGTATGTTTCTCATCTGTTGTTCCTGGGGAATATCACCTGAAGGAAAACCTTCCAGTCCAAGATGCTGTTTCTGGATCTTCGTGCTTTATTCCTTCAAGACCTAAAAGTTTTGATTTCCAAGAGTCCAAACTATTAACTTAATACATAATTATTGACAGGATCAGCTATATAATTTGTGAGGCCCTTTGCAAAATGAAAATGTATGGTCTCCATTCAAAAAGCAGGGGAAAATATGATTAAAGATACTAAAATACCAGGGGCACCTGGGTGGCTCAGTGAGTTAAGCCTCCGACTCTTGATTTCGGCTCAGGTCATGGTCTCAGGGTCTCGAAAATGGAGCCCCTAGTGGAGCCCTGCATCAGTGTCCATGCTCAGTGGGGAGTTTGCTTCTCTCTCTCTCTTCCTCTGCTCCTCCTCTCACTCTCTCTCTAATATAAATAAA